AACCCTTTAAAAGTTCTAATCAAGGTTTGTTTTAAAGTCAAACTCCAAGGTCAAGGTCAAAGTGTCAAAGTTCTGGGTATCCAATAAAGAGTCTTTTCACAAGGATTACATATGTGAAGTATGAAAGCCCTATCCCTTACCGTTCAAAAGTTATGGCCAAGGTAAAAGTTTTTTCACAAGTACAAAAATCTCCAAAGTCAAGGTCAAAAGGTCAAAATTGTTGGTATCCAATAAAAGGTCTTGTCACAAGGAATACACAAGTGAAATATGAAAGTCATAGCTCCACTGAATCAAAAGTAATGGGCAAGGTTAAAGTTTTTGTGGATAAACAGACAGACAGACGGACGGACACGACAAAAACTTTATACCCCCGAAACTTTGTTTACGGGAGCATAGAAATTCCCAACACTATTATATTAAATATATTTTTTCCACTCTTAGCTAGTTATCTCTTCAAGCTTCCCTTTCGAACTAACATTTAATGCTTTAAATCAAAGGATTCATATCCTTAAAAAACAACAACTGCAGTAATTCAAAACATTGCAGATGATATTCCGCCGTATTCAATACCCTTCTGAACACTCAATTTAGACATACAAATTCCAACCCCTGACATTCCCCATCTACAAGGGTCCCAATCAAGTGTGTCCCTTGACCCCTGATCAGGAAGCAAACGCTCTAAAACTAGGCTTCCGTGATCAGCATCGAAGAAGCTCCAAGGAAACAAGGAATTATCAGCTGGAAACTATAGCTGCTGGATTACACTTTATAAAAAAAAACTTCCTTCGAAGTAGTGTAAATATTAATACTTATTCAAAGTAAAAAATAATGAAATATTACGTAAACATGGTCTACTTTCATGACATTTCATTCTGATACTGATAAATATTTACATCCACTGAATATTTTCTTCTTTATTTCTTAAGAAAACCCATTGCGTTCATCACTGCATGAACTACATTAGGCATATCACCTGTACAGATTTCTTGATCAGTGGCCGTTCCATCAATGAAACGTACAAAGACGTTCGCATCATTAACACAATAATTAATATTTTTAATCCTACTTAAAATGATAATTTAAACAGATATAAATATAAACAATAAAATGTCTTTCTTTGTTTGTTATTACTGGAATGAACGGTCACAGCTATTGCAGAAAAAATTTACATAACCCGCTTACGCGGGTTATGTATTTTTTCTGCAACAGCTGCTTCCGTTCATTCCAGTAATAACAAACAAAGAAAGCATTTTATTGTTTAAATAAAATACATATTTATAAAATTAACGTTGGGTCTCGTCTATCGCCTCACAGGTTTATTATTGCAGTCACTGACGCTCTTCCGATATTTATTTTGAACCAGATGTCACATACGATTTACGCAAAACGGAATGAATTTATAGAAATGACATTTGAATAAACTTTAAACAATTTTACTTTAGTCTAAACAATACTACAACCCCCCCAAAAAAGAAATCTTTAGCAAAATGACAGCAAAAATCATTAAAATGGAAGCACAGGAGAGGCTATAAAAGTATGAATACACGTATAAACACGAAGAGAGAGCCCAAAAGTTAGGCATAATTCCTCGGGAACTCTCTTGTCGTGCAGAGATAGACAAAACCTAACTTTGCGTTTATCTTTATACTTTAATACCTATTTTATAGCATTGAACTTCTATGATAAAAATAAATGTGAAAAAGGTTAATATGAGAACATGCAGTGATCGATCTCAAAAAATCTCAAACAAATCAGTGAACAGGACATTAAACATGGACCCCGGAAATTTCAGAGGTGGATAATGTGTAGCAAAAGTAAACTCCCCTGTTGAACGATCACACCCTCCGTGAGTCCTATACATGTATATTCATCAAGTTTGTCATACAATTATATTAGTTGTTGCCGCTTGGCACAATTGTTAGAGCGTTTAATTTTGATCCTTACGTTCAAATTCACTGTGGAATGAGCAGATAAGTCGTATAAACCGAGGCTTCGCGTCGCAATATATACCAGACTGCATATAAAAAAGATTCTTCAATGTGTAATGATCCTGAGTGCCGAGTACACATGTAGGTCTAAAGCACTGCCCTCCACCGGCAAGTAGTAGTAGATTTTACTGCGCTCACCTCTGCGATTTGCATTTTTTTACGGACACAGTGAGGACATCCGCTGTGACAGGGGCAAAGTCTCCAAGAACGCCGTGACAACGCGGCGAGATTTCCACTGATAGCGGTAGAAGTCGTGTAGGGTCTCCTAGAACGCCAGGGGACGGCGCGCACTTTGGGCATGCACAGGATACGCGCCGTATGGTCGCGGATTGATAGGAACGCAGTAGAAACGTAACTTATGATCGCCGAAGCAGCGCGGTGAGATCTCTAACAACGCAATGGTGAGCTCCGTAGGGACGCCGTGAAGACGCACATGATCGCAGCATGAACGCAGTGATAGTAGCTTCCGAGGAGACCTCGCGGAGTCCTTGGGATGTCACAACGTTTCTATCGCGCTTTTAATGTTCTGTCACACCAAGCTGCGTCCACACAGAGTTTTTACGGCGTTGTTGAATTTGTAAAATCGCCGCGGAATCGCAGGGAAATTTCACAAATTTCTGTAAAATTTTCACAAAGTGAAGATGTCACGGCGTCTCGACGGCGACCGACGCGTTTCTTCGGTGTTCTCGCGGCGTGTCACAACGTTCCCACAAAGATCTCTTGGCGATTGCCTGCGCTTCCGTGGAGTTTTCACGGCGTGTTAGGAGTTGTCACCTCACGTTCACGGCGTTCTCAATGCGCTGGCTGCGTTCACAATGCGTTCATCACCCATGGATACTTATTTATATGGTATGGGACATTTTTAAAAAAAGATTACACGATGAAAAGACTTCTACTGTGTAAAGAAATATTCTTTAATCAAAGATGATCTATATGTATAATTATGTTCCCCAAACGAAGTTGGGGAACATATTGTTTTTACTCTGTTTCTTCTTCTTATTATTTTTCTTCTTCCTGGGCACTTATCTTGTAAACTGTTCATCCGATGTAGGTAAAAACAGGAATTAGGCACAAAAAGGGATTTGGGGAGCTTTTGGGGAACATCTGTAACGGTCCCCGTTACAATTAACACTAGTTTAATGCTAAATTCTTTTAAGTTTTGAATGTCAAAAAATAAACACACACTGAAAAGGTGTTTTAAAGTTTTAGTAACTCCACTGAAGCAACAGAACATATTCTGGTGTAAATTCTTCATCCCAATTCTACTCCCATGCTCCTGGTCAGGAGTGCAACTATGAGGCCATTGCTTTTGTTTTCTGAGCTGGATGACAACACCGTGAAAGCGCTTTGTGATCGCCAATGGACGCTGTAGAAACGCCAAGGGAGCGCAATCTTCGAAGTGACAACTCCTTGCTGTCGCTGTGTAATTGCAATCGAAAAAATCACAAGACTATAAATCTAATCAGAAGCGCAGTAAAAGCGCAATAGAAGCGCGGTGACATCTCCAAGGACTCCGTGAAGTTCCCGTGGAAGTGCAGTCTAATACCACTGCGTTCATGCTGCGATCATGTGCGTCTTCACTGCGTTGTTGGAGATCTCACCACGCTGCTACGGCGAACATACTACGTTTCTATACTGCCTTCTTATCAGACTGCGATCACATGGCGGTTACTTTGTGAATGCCCAACGTGCGCGCCGTTTTCTGGCGATCTAGGAGACCCTACGCAGGCCTACCCCGTTCAGTGGAGATCTCGCCGCGTTGTCACGGCACTGTAGGAGACTCTACTGCGCTCACCTCGGCGTTTTGCATTTTTTAAGGACGCCGTGCAATTGCCGTGATGATGCAGCCCTGGTGTAACAGGGGTTTTACGGCGGTTCTTATGAGATTTATCGTCTTTTTTTGACTGCGATCACACAACGACAAATAGGATCACTGCGATCATTTCGCCCCTTTGCGTTTCTACAGCGTCCGTTGGCGATCACAATGCGCGTTCACGGCATTGTTGGAGTGTTGTCGGCCATTTCACAAAATAAGAGTTTGATCAGAAATAATCCTAACGTATTTTTTTGCACACCTGACCAAGAGCATGGGAGTCTTTAACGTATAATTGTAAAGTGAAAATAACACCAGAAGTTGTTTTGATGTTTCAGTTTAAATTTTATAACAACTTTTCAGTGTGTATTTTTACATTCGAAATAAAATTATTAAAGAAAAGATGAAAACACATCTGAATTGATAAAACTGAAAAAAAGATTTTTCTATATAAATAAAAATTTAGATAATTCAGTACTAAATTATTCAAATAAATCTTTTTTAATTAAATATTTCTCAACATAAGTAAAGACTTTCCTCAACTTGAATCTTTGAAAAATGTGCTACACTCCCTCTGTATTTATAACCGTGGGTAAAGAATGCATGATGAACGTAAGTGTGAACGCAGCCAGCGCAGTGACAACGCTATAAACGCAAGGTGACAACTCCTAGCATGCCTAAAAAAACTTCCCCGAAGCGCAGTCACTCGCCCAGAGATCTCCGCGAGACCACCGTAGCATGCTGCGAGAACGCCGTGGAAACCCAATGGTCGCCACTGGGTCGCCGTAGGGACGCTGGGACAATTTCACAGTGTAACAATTTTACTTTTTGCAATTTCCCTGCGATTCCACGGCGATTTCAAAATATGTATTTTCCCTGCGATTCCACGGCGATTAAAAAAACTTAACAACGGCTTAATAACTCTGTTGCCCACGTAGGGGACACAGCTTGGTGTGACAGAGCTCTACGCAGAATGTATATCGCGCGGATCTAAGAAGTCCGATTTTAATTAGATTGGATCAATTTTTTAAAAATGTTTTTAAAGATATAAACAATAAAAACTGATATTAGCAATAAGAGTGTTTTTAAGATGAGTCCTGTGAAAGTAACAATCCTTCAATCACAAATTTCGATCAATCAATTATTTATTTGAATCTCTTCATCATTTTACAACAGTATACAGAGATTACAAGAACATATATAATGTATATGTAATGTACATAACATTGCAATTTCAGTGTTAACCCACAAGTCCAACTTGAACAATTGTAAGTAGATATTGCTTCAGTAAAGATCGGTTAGTAGTTATGAGTATGTTGACTAAGCCCTGCAGGTCGATGGTCATTTTTCTCCAATGTCTATTTTGTTTTCTCTCTCATGGTCACGCACAAATTGGTCTTTGACTTTCCGCTTTTTGCCACACAACAGATAGAAGCCGTAAGCGCAAAGTTCGATCATCAACTGCACAACTTCAAACATTGCCAACACAGACAAACCGATCCACAGACCAATAGCGCCGCCTATGTTGGATGCAAACTCTGCAAACTATGTAATAATTGAAATTATCATTTAAATTTCTTTTTTTTCATTAAAGATTGCAGAAAACTAGCAAACTTACGACGGCGTATTCGTGCCATATTGACAATGCAGAGAAAGTTTTAAAAAATCGTTTGTACGATTTTTTAAATCGTTTGAACGATTTAGAAAATCGTTTGTACAATTTAGAAAATCGTTTGAACGATTTTTAAAATCATTTATACGATTTTTTAAATCGTTTGAACGATTTAGAAAATTGTTTGTACGATTTAGAAAATTATATGAACGATTTTTTTAAATCGTTCAAACGATTTTTTAGATTCGTTCAAACGATTTAGCAAATCGTTTGTACTATTTAAAAAAATCGTATGTACAATTTTTATTTCTTGTTATTACACGTAGAAGAAGCGTAGTAGAAAACCTTGCACAAGTAGGACATCGTACCCACACACAGTTTTAATGAATGACAGAGAAAAATTGATCAAGGAATATTTCAAGATGGGTTTCACTTTTTCGGAAATTGCACAGATCCTTTCGCAAACTCACCGAGTCTTTGTTAGTGAACGAACGTTGAAAAGCACAACAGTTAAGTTGGGACTATTCAGACATAAGAACAAATCCGACATAGGGGATGTAGCTCTTTTCATTGAGAAAACACTTAAGCCATGTGGTCAATTGCATGGATAAAGGTGGTTGTAGTAGAAAGCTATTATAGCAGGATTAACCGTTTCTCAAAGAGATATTCGATGTCTTCTTTCTATACAAGATTCGGAGGGAGTGTGTTTAAGGAAAAGAAATAGATTATACAAGTGATCATAAAAACACTGTGAATGTAATCGTGATATGATGGTTAACTAATTATAATATTACAACAATATTCATACAAGTTTAATTAACAAGATACAATTTATTTTAAGTGTTTCTGTCCCTGTTATAGTCAGCAGCGAAGGGACTTCTCTATACAAAAGCTTAACCAGGTTTCTTATCCAGTACCCTTCCGTTCCGAATCAGAATAAAAAAAAATCGTTCAAACGATTTGACAAATCGTACAAACGATTCAAAAAATCGTACAAACGATTTAACAAATCGTTCAAACGAATTTCTAAATCATACAAATGATTTTCTAAATTGTTAAAACGATTTTCTAAATCGTTCAAACAATTTTCTAAATCGTTCAAAGGATTTTCTAAATCGTTCAAACGATTTTTTTAAAAAAATTCTCTACATTGTCAATATGGCACGAATACGACGTCGTACAAACTACATGTACTTGCATTGTTTAAAGTTTTATCAAACATTCTGCCAGATTTACACTCTTGCTGAAATATATTCACAACGATTATAATATGTGAAAGTTAATTTAAAGTCATTGTTGTATCAAGGTCATCACCACCTTCCCTTTTTACTGTATAAAACCAACAATTAAAATTTTAAAAAATTGAAAGAGCAAGTTGCTTTTTTTGGTAAAAGTGAATACATGTAAAAAAAAATTTTCTTTTCCTTTTTTTTAAAACAAAATAATCATAATACATGTACTGTGTCATGAACTTGACTCATGATCAAATAAGACAGATCAGATTAAAAAAAAAACATGATTGGATTTGAGCTGTACAACCCTGGTAAATGTGATTAGGGCAAAATAGGCGAAAACAAAACGAAATTTTCCCTGTATACAATATTACAATGTTTGTGTTTGTTAAATCGTAAGTCATATGTTTTGTTTGTAAGCCACTAAGGTGTGTGGTAGCCCCTAAAATAATGCTTACGGTAGATGCAGGCGATTCTACTAGCTCTTCAAAGTTAAGATCCTCATAGTAAATAGTGACCTTGGAGAAATATCCACTGAAAAATATAAGGATACGTGACAACAGCAAAGACTTGTGAATCATAACAAAGAAATATTTTTAAAAGTATATTGTATATGATATATGACTCAAATGCCTTGCTTGGAGTTGAACAAGGGAAATTAGGGCTCCGAGGTACTTATTCTGTATCCATCTACTTTTCTCTTCAGTACTCAAACAGACACTAATTCATAGCCTGTTCCATAGATATTCAACAACAAGCCATCAATACTTTCGTTTAAAGTATTAAAGTTAAGACCCCAAACACGACACTTTCGGTTGCCTTGCCAATCTCATCCTTAATAAAATCGTTTTGTAACACTGATTAATACATACATCATATCGGATGGAGAAGATCTCATTCGTTGCAATATAATGCACTTCTCTGGGTGAGATTGACACACAGTCTGCATTAAACTAGTCTGTAAGTAAAGAGAGTGATTGCTATCAAACGCCGAGTCGGCAATATTTCAGCCATATTTGGGTGGCGTAGATAAAGTAAAGAAAATATTAACATGGCGGATGATAAAATGCGTCTCTTCCTTTATAACAAACAAACATCCACAATTATCTATTGTATACAGCTCAAAAAACTTTTTAAACTCACATGGTTTTTTGCACAAAATAAAGTAACATTTTTCTTGCAATAGAACTTAAAATTATCGAGTTTCACTACGAGACATAACCGTTATATTAATAAATATTTCATGTTAAAGGTGCATATTCTCTAAAAATCATTATCTTCAGTTTTAAAATTAAATGTTCTTAAAGTGAATTTGTTTATAAATTGTATGATGTTAAATGTGTATGATTCTATCGTAGGTATTTACAAATTAATTAATCGAACTTTCTTTGATACTATTTGGTTGAAATATTCAAACTGACTTCTTACAGATGAGTATTTTTCTAGGTACTTCGCACATTTTTCATACTTTTCTTGGTTTTGAAGAAATGCAGCGCCGAAAAATGATAAAACTGCATAAAGAAATCATGTGAGAGGATAGGATAATAAAGTATTGTTTATCTTTCAACATAGTAAATTGTAAATATTGAAAAGAAAATTCTTTTACATTTATGGTCTGAAACTTCGAAATTTTGCGTTGGAAGGAATCTTTCATGATGCTAGATTCCAAGAAGTTAAACTGAAAAATGCCATCTTTTTAACATGGAAAGCAGTCTAACAGATGATAAATACTTCTATCATCTCGCGCCTTAGTGTCATATTAATGTACAGAAAGTACAGAAGTTACACGAAGTGCACTGTTTCTGTATTAAGGCAAGGCAAAAGTATGCTTAAAAATAAACGGATACAAAGACGGTTGCATTTGAAGAGAAACCGTGAAAAAACCAATAGGAATCTCTCATAATATATCATCCAAGAGCATATAAAAATTCTACCAAATATTATATGTGAATTATGTTTAAAGTAATGGAATATGATCAAAATTAAGTTAAAATCAATTTTAAAATATATTTTGTTGTCACAATACACAGTTTTGCATTATAACAATGTGACCTTAATTTGTGCGAAAAACTATGTGAGTTTAAAATGTTTGTTGAGCTGTATATCCTTTTTATATTAATTTAAACAAGTACAAATATTGACTGAAATGCACTGAATTAAAAATCAACAAAATATGTTCGACTGTGTCATAATTACGCCACATACTCTATGAAAACAACCCACGTTTTGCTGAGATTGCCATGTGACCAACAAAGAGTCCCCATTTATTTATCACCTGTCTTCAGTTGAGCAATGGGCGTAATGTGCCGATGATTTGACTTCCATATTCGATTATCAACCAATGAGTGAAGGCAAGTTCTCATTGAAAAGTTTAATCTCCTTTATACTCGAAAAATCAATCATTTGATCAATTTTTTGCTTAAAATGATAGTAGCTATTGTAATTTCAGGACAAGGACATATGAGGTTTTGAAATTTGACAGTCTGAATGTTAAAACAAGCTAATTCAGAGAATTTGTGTCCCCCGCTTAGGGAAAAAGTAAACCATGCGCAGTTCGGGGGAGGGGGTCGGATCCCCTTGACTGAATTTGTAGAATTATTAAATGTATACATGTATAGTGAAGCAAATAAAATATGCCAATATGGATATAAAGGTTTGATTGCTTATTCTTTTTTACAATGAAGCTCATTGAAGTGGTAAAACTTTCCGTTTGACTGGAACGTTTCGAGCTATCTTTAGAACGATGATTGTCATACAATGACACGCCCATTTCTTTAGAAAGGAAAAATCGGTCAAATGGTTCACTGGAATACCCGTAGAACAGGCATTCTAAAAATAAAATAGCCAATCAAATTGACGGTCTACATAAACACAGAGCAAGCTCATATTCGACCGATATATGTGTTATGGTAACTCCAATAAACATGATAAATTCATAATTATGGACAAATTCGTTGCAATACGTGTTTTACAGAATCGGTACTCTCTAACTCTCTTTCTTATAACTTTAAAAATCTCAGTTTTGGTGTAACTCATGTTGCTTGTCGCGAAGAGTGGTGCGTTATAAACATTACGACGAATATTTTTTTTTCGTTTCTAAAGAAATGGGCGTGTCATTATGTTATAATTGACGTTGAAAATGTGACTCAGAAAGTTTCATCCAAACGGAAAATTTTACCACTTCAATGTGCTTCATTGTATGTGTATAGAAGATTCTGGAATATTTATCACACTGTAATGATGATTTTATGAGTTTGTACAAGCCAGCCCTCATAATTTTTTTCATTTCACATGCTGAATACTATCATTTAGTAAAAAAAAAAGTATTTCGAAAAAAAAAATGGATCGTTCGGGAATCGAACCCGGGCCCTCTCACATGTGAAGCGAGTGACATACCACTAGACCACGGAACCGCTTTGTACAAACTAACAATATGTGCAAAGATAAAGTCACATACATGTATACATTCACGTTCGATATTGTCAAAATTTTAAACAATGCACGGTGTCTAATTGTTTAACCTTTATTAAACAGTTCTAATAGATGTAATCAGAATGTAAAGTCCACCAAGAACCTGTTTTATACGTAATAACTCTCCTCATGCCCGAGTGCTAAAAATAGCGACATGTAATACAATAAATACTAATAAAACAAACGGGGCGGGACACTTTGAGAGGGGTGAGACAGGTCCTAGGGAGTTTTGGTATAAAATAACATTGCAAAAGCTCACAATCTTCTTGAAATATCGTCCCGAAAATGATAGTGTTTCATACAGTTAGAATGTATAAATTTACGACCTTGAACTTTGACCTTTTGACCTCAAAATCCTTTAGGCCACAAATTTCATTGCAAAAGCTCAAAGGGTTCTCGAGATATCGTGCGGAAACGAAAGTGTTCTAACAGACAGAATTTGCGAATTTATGACCTTGACCTTTGACCTTTTGACCTCCGAATCAATAGGGGTCTTCTTTAATCTATAGGGAGTTGTTATGCAAAATTTCATTGCGAAAGCTCAAAGGGTTCTCGAGATATCGTGTGGAAACGAAAGCGTTACAGACAGACAGAAAGACGGACGGACAGACCCAAATTAATATCCCCCACTTTTCAAGCGGGGGACAAATATGCTCCCTACATTCCATTATTGGGATGCTAAGTGTCTTTTGATTCGATATTACATCATGTTTCTAGATTTTTTTTAAGATGATCACTGTTCGTTATCTGCTCTCCTTTTGCATGAAATAATATATTTAATTGTCCCCCGCTTGAAAAGTGGGGGATATTAATTTGGGTTTGTCCGTCCGTCCGTCCGTCCGTCTTTCTGTCTGTCTGTAACGCTTTCGTTTCCACACGATATCTCGAGAACCCTTTGAGCTTTTGCAATGAAATTTAGCATAGCAACTCCCTATGGACTAAAGAAGACCCCTATTGATTTTGAGGTCAAAAGGTCAAAGGTCAAGGTCAGAAATAAGCAAATTCTGTCTGTTAAAACACTTTCGTTTCCACACGATATCTCTAGAACCATTTGAGCTATCGCAATGAAATTTTACATAACAACTCCCTGTGGCCTAAAGAAGACCCCTATTGATTTTGAGGTCAAAAGGTCAAAGTTCAAGGTCGTAAATTTATACATTCTGTCTGTGTGTAAAACTATCATTTCCGGGTGATATCTCAAGAAGATTTTGAGCTTATTCAATGTAATTTTATACCAAAACTCCCTAGGACGTCTCTCGCCCCTCTCAAAGTGCCCCGTCCCGTTTGTTTTATTAGTATTTATAGTATTACATGTCGCTATTTTTAGCGCAGGGGCATGAGGAGAGTTATTGCGTATAAAACAGGTTCTCGGTGGACTTCATGTTCTTATTACATCTATTATAACTGTTTAATAAAGGCTAAATAAATCAAACACCATGGATTGTGTAAAATTTTGAGAATACCGAACATGAAAACATGAATATATACATGTATGTGACTTCAGTTCTGCATATACTTCACTCCATGTAAAGCGACTCCGTGGTCTAGTGGTTATGTCTCTCGCTTCCAATATGAGAGGGCCCGGGATCGAATCTCGGTCGAACCTTTCTTTTTTTTTTTTTTTTTTTTTTTAAATACTTTTTTTTTTTACTAAATGATAGTATTCAGCATGTGAAATGAAAATTTATGAGGTTATAAAATCATCATTACAGTGTGATAAATATTCCATATAAAAAAATCTTCTATACCCATAATAAAGAATAAGCAATCAAATCTTTATATGCATATTGACATGCATGTATTTTATTTCCTTCAGTATACATGTATATACATTTAATAATTCTACAAATTCAGTCAGGGGGAGCCGACTTTTTCCCTAAGCGGGGGACACGAATTCTCTGAATTAGCTTGTTAAAACTGTATTTGGCTATCATAGTGTCTCCTAATGAAAGCTTACTTTTTAAATAATAAGTTTGCGTTCCTTATCCCTTACTGTATATTTATACCCCCCGCTTGAAAAGCGGAAGGGTATATAGTAATCGTTAATCCGTCCGTCCGTCTGTACGTCCGTCCGTCCGTCCGTCTGTTACGCTTTCGGGTACCCATCTCTTATCCGCAACTCCTCTCATACCACTGAATGGAATTTGATGAAACTTTCACAGAATCTTTATTACATATTGCCATTGTGCACCTCCTATTTTACTTTTTGATCCGACACATATTTTGGGTTTTCCGGCCACAGCAAAACATGGACATTGCCATTATTAGCTCTTCTGAGCCAAAGGCTCAAAGAGCTAATGCTATGGCCATTTGTGCGGTGTGCGGTGTGCGTAAACCTTTTAGAATATGGGCCATAACTCAAGAACCCCTTGGCCAATCAGTACCAAATTTGTCACAGGGTATCCTTGGCCCAAGGGCTACCATTTTTACTAAAATAAGGGTTGGGACCCTTAAACAAGGGGAGATAATCAGGAAAACAAAACCAAACGTACTGGTTGCTAAAAAATCTTCTTCTCCATAACCACCACGCAGATTTTCACCAAACTTACATACAAGGATCAGGATATGTCGAAGATTAAAATTTGCACGGGGAATTACCCTGGGGCAAAGGGCGTGGTCTCAAGGTCACTTCAAAGTTGACCTAAATTTACAATTAATAAAAACGTGTATATTTTGCTTACTATAAGGACTAGGATCATCAAATCTTGTAATTTGATGCATCTTATGACTTCACATCATGTTAACTCAAAAGAAGGTCACGGCGACCTACTTTTTAAATTTTGCTGGGATTTGTTTTCAAATTGATTTGAAGGCATATTTTGGACACTTTAAGGCCTATGATTATCAAACTTTGTCAGTTGATGCATCTTGTGTCCTCGAACAATGTCAACTTAAAAGTAGGTCACCGTGACCTACTTTTTGAACTTTATGACTTATCCTTTTAAAAACATTAAATCCCATTATTTCAGACACTGGGAGGTTAAGAATCATCAAATCTTGTACTTTGATGCATCTTACGACTTTAAAACGTATTTATGAAAAAGGAGGTCACTGTGACCTACTTTTTGAATTTTGTTTACATTTGTTTTCAAATTGTTTAAAACGCATATTTTGATTACCTTCAGACCTACGATCATCAAACTTGGTCAGTAGATGCATCTTGGGTCTTTGAAAAATGTCGACCTAAATGTAGGTCACGATGATCTCTTTTCAACATTTTATGGCTATATTTAAGTATCTTAGTTATTTATTGGCTTAGAATCATCAAACTTTGTGAGTCGATGCATATTTGGTTTTCGGAGAGTGACGACCAAAAAGTAGGTCACGGTGACCTACTTTTGACATTTTATGGCTTTATTTAAGTATCTCCGGTACTTATAGGCTTAGAATCATCAAACTTTGTGAGTTGATGCATCTTGGGTTTTCGGAGAGTGACGATCAAAAAGTAGGTCATGGTGACCTACTTTTGACATTTTGTGGCTATAATTAAGTATCTCTGGTACTTATTGACCTAAAATCATCAAACTTTGTCAGTTTAGGCATCTTGGGTTTTCGGAGATTGTCGACCAAAAAGTAGGTCACCGTGACCTACTTTTGAATTTTTATGGCTAAATTTAAGTATCTCAGGCACTTATTGGCTAAGAATCATCAAACTTTGTCAGTTGAGGCATCTTGGGTTTTCGGAGAATGTTGACCAAAAAGTAGGTCACATTGACCTACTTTTGAATATCTCAGGTACGTATTAGCTTAGAATCATCAAACTTTGTCAGTTTAGGCACCTTGGGCTTTCAGAGAACGTCAACCAAAAAGTAGGTCACTGTGACCTACATTTGACATTTTATGGCTATATTTAATTATATCTGGTACTTATTGGCTTGGAATCATCAAACTTTGTCAGTTGAGGCCTCTTAGGGTTTCATTGAATGTCCAACAAGAAGTAGGTCACGGTGACCTACTTTTGAATATCTCAGGTACTTATTGGCTTAGAATCATCAAATTTTGTCAGTTTAGGCATCTTTGGTTTTTGGATAACGTCGACCAAAAAGTAGGTCACCGTGACCTACTTTTGACATTTGATGGCTATATTTAATTATCTCTGGTACTAATTGGCTTAGAATCGTCAAACTTTGTCAGATTATGCATCTTGGGTTTTCAGAGAATGTTGACCAAAAAGTAGGTCATGGTGATCTACTTTTGAATATCTCAGGTACTTCTTTAATTAGAATCATCAGTCTTTGTCAATTACTGTATCTTGAGTTCTCAGAAAATTTCAATCAAAAGGTAGGTCACTGTGACCTACTTATGGTATTTTATAATTATATTACAATATCTTCAGTCTTAACTGGCTAAATATTATCAAACTTTGTAAGTTAATGCATTTGGGTCTTATGATACTAATAGAGTTGGAGGCTTCTAATAGAAGTGATAGATTGTACAATTTATCAGAGGAGCGATTCAAGGCCCTTGGGCCTCTTGTAACTATATGGAGGCGGGGGTATCATTTAGTGAGCTCATCGCTCACAATTCCTCTAGTAGTTTTTCTTTTCATTGCATATAATGCGGAAAGGAATATTTTCAATACATTAATTTTTAGTCCCTTATAACTAATTTCACCAACTTTACTTCTTTGATTGTTTACAATTGTGAACTTCATTCATTGTTTCGTATTTGAAAAAGCAAGAAAAAACCTACGCTGTAGACTCTTTTAGATTATATTTTAGATTTTAACCTTTATATTCCAACTTGTACATAAGAAAGAAAACAATTAGTATCTTTATCCTTAACATCGTTATGTAAAAGGACGTTTGTGTAAAAATACTAAGAATAATTCCTACCGGGGTACTCAGACTCCTAAGAGAAAAACCCCTCCTTTTGAGAACTACTTACTGCATAGGGCATAGAAGGCCACTGTCGAACACTCTTGCTCATGGAATAAATCTGCTCACTTAAAACAAAATAAATTGTCAACACGTAGATGCCATAAACAGCTGATAAATACACCTGTGTTCATATTTTCAGATTATTATAAATAGGTAACAGAAAACAATTTCTTCTCACCGGCAAGGATTTAAACACGTGCATGTTCGTTTAAACGACTTAAATTCTGTTTCCACATCTTCCAAACATTTAAACTCTACCAAAGAAATAAATTGTTATAAACATTAGCAAACAAAATTGTTGTTTTTCATACGAGTGTACTTTTATAGGAGCTGAGATAGGAAATTTTCCCTGTTAATCTGTATAGTTATGACTTTTAATATTCATATTGTGAGAAACTGTTGTATCTGGAACTAAAAAAAATAATTTCTCATTGAAATTCATCTAAAATATTTTAAAAGAATTGGATGACTAACAAAATAGACCAAAAGTACAGAAAATGATATCTAAGAAGTTTTTCGGTTAAAAAAAAACTCATATAATTTCAAGCAGCCAGTAAACTTAAGTTTAGCTAATAAATATATTACAATGATTCGATTATTTTATTATATTGAAAAAATCCTCGATCATCTATACAAAGGCCATTTGATAAAATAACACGTCATCAATTTCATTTAATATATTTAAAAGAGAAATTGTATTCTTTATCTTATATAAACAAGGTAATGTCCCTGGGAAAATGAATTTTTTTCAGACATCCTTGATAAATTTTTGAAATATAAAGTAATATCAATATTAGAAATTGTTTTCACTGTAAATATTATGAAATGGTATATAGGGCCTCCAGAAACATCTGTCCTCATAATATGGCGACCGAGGGAACATTAAAATAAAGTGTCGGAACCTCCAACCGTATGAAACATTAATGTATCCAGTTTGATATAAAAAATAGTACATTTAGTATTTAGTTCAAAATTTATATACTAGCAAATAGAACGTTTAGTGTTTATTGTGTATAAGCCCTCTCCACAGATACAAGGTTAATTTAATAATACACATAATTTATAGTAACAGGTTCATATATCACCAATGAATTATATACTGTATAACTGACACAAAATTAAATAGAATTTAAGAGAAAGTACAAAAAAGTACATATGAAAAAAAAGAAAAAAAAAATGAATTATACCGGTTTATGTGGAAATGAGAGGAAAAAATCGAAAAATGAGAATTACAGCATTTTATAAACATACAATGAATGTGTAAATGTATTTGATTTAGGCTAGTCCGAAAAATCTGACGTTTTCCTGGCTTATTTACGATTTTGATATCCTGGCATGTAAAATATCAAAATCGTAAAAAAGCCAGGAAAACGTCAGATTTTTCGGGCTAGATTTAGGCAAGAACTAGAATAGATATTTCATAGTTTCACTTCATTTATGAAACCTTTTGGTTTGTGATATATATATATGAACACAATCAAATAATTACTTAAGACATACATTTCTTTGGAACAATTATTAGTAATAAAGTAGCAATTTAAATTAATGAACAGGGATTATGATTGCATTCATTTTCTGATGAACTGGTACTAAGTCATCTCGCGTACATAAAAAGCTACCACATCTACTATATATGCATATAAAAATCTTTTTTCGAATAATGAATCATAACTCTATCTGAAAATCTACATAAAATGGCGATACCTGCTTCCGTCTGACATCCTTTATATTCATTGGTTTTATTTATAAAGTAGTAGAACTCTTCAGCGTTAGGTGGAAGGCATCCACAGGCGTCACGCATGGCTGCATGGATGCAAGTTCTGCGACATTCCTGAAAGTATAATTCAACTTTTATGCTTTAGCAATTAAGGTGGAATTCTCTGCTTCTGTATTTAAGCTTGGAAATATTCAATGCCCGATTCTTCGAGAATGATTTTCAAATTTAAAAGAAGTGACTAGTACTAGTATCAATAAAAAAGTATGAATAAAAATATCTAAAATAAATATGTATAGAATAAAATAATATTCTTTAAATTCAATTCCTATTTTGTGTAAACTTAATTTAATTTGGTATTATAATGATATGTGAATTTTACAAACAATTTTTGTGCCTCAATGTTCTGGGAAAAATGTTTATTTGAATACGATTTCGCACAAACAGCTCAAAGGGAGAAAATCAGGCACCGAAACCCCATAAAACAAAATTTGATACATGTATTTGGCAACCAGGAAAAAATTCAATTTACCTTGATGAAATTTACAAAAAAATATCAGTTAAATATTTTTCCTTTTGTATAACAAAAATATTTAGCTGATATTTTTTGAAACCTCTAAACAAAGAAATTGATAGCTAATGTTGTTAAGCAAAAACTGCGAAGACCTCTTCTCTTCCTTACACAAATATAATTGCACATACATCATGGGATAATAGAATATTTATCGCAAGATTTTGAATATATATCAAAAGATTTTGAATATACATCACAATATATTGCACATACATCACAAGATTATAGAAGATACATCACTAGAGATTTTGTACACACATCATAATGATTAGCATATACATCACAAGATATTGAACATACATCACAAGATTATCGAATAAAGCAACGTTTTACTTATAATCATTACACATTATATGTGTACATTTTTAACCCAGCTGCGTAAACTCTTACATTTCGAGTGTATTTAAACCCATTTTTCTTTTCAAACCCAATCACGTCTTCGCACTCTCTATAAGGAGGAGGCACTCTTTTGACATCTCTCTGGAAGAACATGTCAATACTTAATTCAACTTTTCACCATTATCATTGTAATTTTATAATTCATTATAATCGTGATTTCTCTGATTCAGTCATTCCTTACCACTAGTAAGCCGATATTTGAATGGAAGCTTGTTGGTATTGATAAACCCTTGTCAGATGGATTAGGAAAGGTTCCTGGATTGTGTACTTGTAAACGTAACCCATAGCCCTGGCTTATCGAATCTACGTACTCGTCGTTTTCAGTGAAGAATATGAAAGAAAGGCCTGTAAATGAGAATGATATTTGGAGATCACGAACTAGAAGTACTGTGAGCATTGAGCTCACTAAATAATACTCACTCCCCCGCCTCCCATATATGACATTAATGGCAAAGTCCATGTTTTGCTTTGGGAGCCCCGAAATAAGTGTCAGATCAAAACGTAAAATAGGAGATGCACAGTGATATATTAAAAAATCCGAGAAAGTTGCATTGAATTGTATTCGAATTGTGGATAAGAGATGGGTATCCTTAAATTCTACAATGTTATGACAGTGCCCATGTTTTAAATAGCTATGGAAATTCGAAATATGTGTCTGATCAAAAAAATGTATACAGTGGGACTATGTAACAATTAAAGAATCGGTGAAGGTCTCATTAAATTTCATTCAGTGGTATTAGAGTAGTTGCGGATAAGAAATAGGTAACCAAAACGTAACGGACGTACGGACACCCCCATCACTATATAGGAGTTTCCCCTTCTTTTCAATCAGGGGTGGGGTGTAATAAAGCTCTAAAGACCACTGAAACATTACAAATTTAGAGCGGACTTCTAAAACATCAGAGGTGAGATCAGGTGTCATGTAGGAGTAAGCATCACACCCACTGTGTGCTCTTTGTCATTATCAGGTAAATGAATTCGAAATTCAGTAGACAACCCAGTAATAAAGTAATTGCCTTACTATTTGTGTGAACAACATCAGTTAACATTCTACTTAATGTATTTGCTGAAGAGATCACTGCGTCCAAAACTTGGTCATTAAAGTTTATTCTAGTTTTAATTTTTCTGCAATTTGCCGCAGATATTTATGTATCTATTTAAATGTTAAATATACCTATATAAATGTCATGCAGCTTATTAAAGGTCGATATTATATTGACAGTAATGCACATTTTTTTATTGTATCAAAGGTCATTCAACAATCTGTATCTTTAGCAACTAGACTGAGGATGTTCTATAAACTCACAAAGTGCATTTAAAACAGTGTGACATATAACTCTGGAAAAGACATTGTCCAGACTTTTTACTGCCATTTCTAACTGCGATGTCAAAAATATACCGGTATTTTAGCACTCGGTGGGAATTTTTAGCAGTACGTAATTACGGTCTCATGTTGAACTCACACACATCTCTTTTTCCAAAAAAACTTTTTTGAAAAAAGTCATAATCCAATAAGAGAAATGTGGGAATTTTAGTCTTAACAACTATCCCACCTTTCTCCCATTGAAGAATGTTAAGATATCTCCCAATGGGATTTTTTCTTCAAAAATTTGATCAAATGGGATAAATCTCATGGATATTGACAATAAGACATGTTTCCCCGAAACCCAACCCCATACATTGTAAAACATTGGATATATCCCATAGATTATGATATCTAACTCATCATAATCTGTAGGATATATCCCATTCTTAATAATGTTTTGGAGAAAATGACTCATTGTCAACATCCTTGGCACTTATCCCATTTGTGGGAGAAAAAAATCCCAATGGGAGAATGATCAAATCTGGCACAGTTTCCCCAACGGGAGAAAGGTGGGATACTTATTAAGACTAAAAATACCACCATTCCCCCAGGGATTTTGACATTAAGGAATTTATATCTTAATAAAATGATGTTTGTGATATCAACTCTAGACTGCAAGACACTGTCGTGTCTGGGTTTTCTTATAGTTAATGTCGCACTGTTATAAACATGATAACGATATAATAATTTTACCTGACTTTGGCCCGGCTTCTTTGGAAATAAATTTTTCTGAATGTAGCGTGAAACAGTTTCCGTACTCTGGTGTATTTATTAATGTAAAATCCCTAAAAAATAACCATGAATATATCTCTCGATTAAATAACACCACCATATGGTGTGATAGAGCTCATACATGTACGTTCTTTATTCTCAACTTACTGAGGGTAGCATTTATGTCCATTAAAGGAACAGTCCATGAGCATCATATCAATCTGGTGTCCAGACCGAATTCTTGTAGCTCTGTTATAATAACATATTAACAATAAAGACGATAATAATAAAATAACGGCAATTAAAAAAATATAGACGTGCTAAAGATATACTGATCAACCCCTTCCACACACGAAACATTTTTTTTAAGTTGATACCTGTCTAACTCAAGGTATATTTTCGTGAAATTGACAGCAAATTCATGTAGCTGCGATGTATCAGCATTCCTCTGATCCAAAAAAAGAAATGATATGAAGCAAGATTTCATTCATCTTCGTACACTTAAATCAACAAAAAATAAAATAAAGACAGTAAATACAGAATTGTATCACCTTTCGTCGACCAGGTGGCGGTTGTCCACCATCAGGGGGGCCACCTCCGCCCCCAGGGGGACCACCGCCCCCACCACCAGGGCCACCACCACCAGGAGGGCCACCAGACTACAAAAAGAAACCAACAAGATAATGGTTCTTCCTTTTATATAATAGCTTTCTCCAGTCGCACGGGCCTCACAAACTTAAGGTTTCATCAAAGGTCAACATGTCCAAAAAAAAAAAATAATTATTTTTTACAATAGCTCCAAAACTATGTGGTTTATAAAGTTGAAACTTTTACAGTTTATAGATTTATCATTGATTAACAGAAATAGAAAGTACCACTTGATAACAAATACTGATTAAAAATATTTATCGAAAACATTCTTTTAAAAAATGTCTACATTTTCAAAAAATACACCTAATTCCGTACTTTTAGTGAAAGCCATCATTGCAGAAAAAAGTGTTTGTTATACCTTTAAAAATTTGTTCCCATACATATCAACACGGAAAAAAGTCTAACATTTCTAATGTTTTGCTGAGCGGTGTTACAACGCGAAATGTAATAACAACGCGAAATGTAATAAACATGGATTATTACATTTTGCGTCGAAATCACCGCAAAATGTAATAACGCAAAATGTAACAACATATTTTTGAGGATTATTACATTTTGCGTTATTACGTTTTGCATCGACATCAACGCAAAATGTAATAACGCAAAATGTAATAACACGGTTTTTGGATTATTACATTTTGCATTGTTACAATTTGCGTTGAGATTAAGAAAAAGGCAAGAACACAAAATGTAATAACACACTTTTTGGTCAGCCAGATTGAGTACAATTTTCAATAAAGTAGTGGCTGATGAAAAGAAAATAAAAACAAAAGGGAAAATGCAATTTCTTACAATTAATGAATTTTATAATATATTGATTTAATTAGCTACATGTATTTAAAATCAGTTTAATACATGTATTCAAATTAAAGGTGTTGCAAATTAGAAACGTCCGTGTGTGGGCGGGTTGTTGTTATAGGTGGGTGTTATTGACAAGTGTGCTTTTGCTTTTTTTAAAATAGACAAATGCAATGAATCTATTAAAACAATCTATTCAGTTGTACTGGCAGGTGTTAATATACAGCGGGAAGGCGGTTTATTGACAATTATATATAATACTGCATCATACAAATCACCAGCATTGCAGAGAAGCAAAAACACAAATTCTTTCTCTTTCTTTCTTCCTTTGCTATGGTCAATCTATGGTAATTAATATGTTATTGGTTAGAAATTTGATAAGACGTATTCATCAAAAATATGCCAAATGCTTTATAATTAATTACAGTGTATTCAATAAAAGTCAGTGTTAGAAAAAAGATGCATTTATATTTATTTATGTCCGTAAAAGCGGTAACGTTGGCCTCATTGTTTTAGTTTAAATATTTTGTAAAGCGTGCTTCACAAGTTGTTACATGTATATATTTAAATCAATTTTATGTTTTGAGTTAAACGCAATTAAAAAAATTAATTATATTTTGTTTTATTACATATTGTTTTATTACATTTTGCGTCGTCTTCAGGGCAAAAAAACATAACGCAAAATGAAAAAAAGAAAAAGCACATTATTACATTTTGCGTTGATCTCGACGCAAAATGTAATAACGCAAAATGTTAAAATCCCAGTTCATTACATTTCGCGTTGTTATTACATTTTGCGTTGTAACAGAGCGGGCATAAAAAAAAAAATAATTGGACCGCTGAGTGAGATGTTGGACCGCTTACGTCACAGAATGGGCGGAGCTTAATCTCATTTTCATTCGTTCGTGTTAAAAAGTTACGGACCTGATGTTACATCACAAAAGATAGTACAAAATACATGTATGTAAGAAAAAAAATAAAATGAAAGGTATAATAAAACATTTATTGACTGTTCTCGCGCACATGCGTTTTGTCAAAACGCATGTTGCCCTCGAACTCAGTCAATAAATGTATAATGTTTATCAATAAAGAGCAAGTTGGACTTTGATAGCCTCCAGGAAAGATGTTTCCCTGCTTATTCTGTCCAAACGTGAAGACTACATTGTAAATGGCGGATTTTATAAGGGTCTTGTCTTTATACATGCCATGCTCTCAATAAGACCTTTCAAAGAACATTCACGTCCAACTTGCCCTTCATTGATAAACATATATTATTTCTGCAATGATGGTTTTTCACTAAAAGTACAGAATTAGGGAGGTACATTTAAAAAAAAAAAAAAAAAAGATGCAATTTTTATTTATATATATTTTTCGATAAATATTTTAAAATTTTTTTTTCATGATGCTTTCTACAATGAAGCCCACTGAAGTAGTAAAATTTTTCGATTGGATGTTTCTTATCGAACGTCAATCGTTAATGTGATATTCCCATTTCTTTAGAAACTTGAAAAAAAAATATTTGACATAATGCTTTATGACACCCCACTCTTCAGTCTTTGTGACTAACAACATGATATGTACTAAAACGGAACTTTTAAAAAAATTAGAAGAGATAATTAGAGACTCCTCACTTCTGAAAAATTCGAATTGCGTGGAATATGCACATATCTATGAATTTATCATGTCTATTGGAGTTACCAAAGCACGTTTCAGCCGAACACGTGTTTACTCGATTGGCTATTACAGTATAATTTGTCCAATCCGGCTACCGCCGGTTCCATAAAATTTGGCCGGATTATACAGAATCCGGAGTGCAGGAAAAATGCAGGGAAATATAAATTTCGAAAATTTTCGTTGTTTATTTACAAGTACATCATATGCATATTATAAATAAAATTAAATGATGAAATCAATTACTATTCTGGAGTCTAGAAATTATAAAATAGTCTCACATGACTTACTGTATTTTCTTATTTGTTCACGAAGTTTGAAAGTCGGGTGAAATGTTACCTCAATCGAAATATACAGGCACGCATAATATAGGCCTACTTTGTATCAAGCGGACCGGGTTTCGCTTGTCTAAGACCTCACTTAATGTATTAACAGTAATGCACAATTATTTACGATGTGCTAATTATTAGATTGAACTTTTAATTTTATGTAACAAATTACGTCTTCCCCCACAGTGTTATGGTGCCATTTTGAAATGCGTTCGATTTTCGATCCCGATTTATATTTTGATTTGTAAATCGCATACATATATTTTTGTGTTCATGTTATAATGTGCTAAAAGGAGTTAAAACAAAGTTACTTTTTTAATTGTAATTTAATATAATATATTTTTCAAGTGGACTGTGTCACCGCCGCATTTTACCGAGTTCGTCTCATGGCACTAATTGTCATGCTAATGTAAACACGGATTATCACATTCCCCACGAAAGGTGTTAATTTCTTTGAAGTAACTCAGGTGTGGCCGGATTAGAGGGAATAATTAATGTTAATTAAGAGCAGTTGGGACCAGTATGGCCGTTCGGAATACAGAATAGACAGTATCCGGACTACACAGAATTTTTAAAAATGAATTTGTTAAAGAAGTGCATGGGACTAAAATTTACGGACGGAATGGACAAAAGTCCGGAGTACTCAGAGTCCGGATTAGACAAATTTTACTGTATATATATTTATGGAAAAACCTGTTCTACAGGTATTCGAATAAACACTATGACAGTTTGTCATCATGTGACAATCAACATTTTAATGATAGCTCACAACATTCCATTCAAACGGAAAATTTTATCAATGCGCTTCATTGTATCTGTTAAAGCTATACATGTATATGGCGCATCTGAGCTAAAAAATAAAAATACGAGATTAAGTGTAGATTAAGATGATAATTGTTATCTATATGTATGTTCATATTAAAATTTTCACTGATTTTGAACTTACATATCCCCACGTTTCTATAGGTTAAATTGACTTTAAACTGTGTTTGATATTTTTATCCGACGGAAATAAATCGGCTATTGTTTTAAATCTTGTCACAATGCTAAAAAATCGCTAAAAATCGTTGTTTAAACTATTCAAGATTACTCTGGCACTGAACGATTGTTTTTATGTTTCATAAAACTATGCAGCAATATGCCCTTCAAACTTTATCGTGAAACAGTCTATTCTAGTTCTACAAACTACTTTAGTATTTTATTTTCATATATAACCAACCGCCGAAATATGCCTGAGATATTACTGACTCGGCGTTAAACAGTAACAACCCATCACTTCACCAATCAATCGATCGATCAAGCCATAAATCAAGCAATCATATGGAACTTGCCGCGTCTCCATATGAGTGAAAAATTCTCGATAGGGACGTTAAACAACACACAATCAAGCAATCATATATAACTTACCCCCACTGGATTTCCGGCAGCTATCAGATCCTTGAGATCTTTGGAAGTAGATGGTACGTCGCTTAATTTAACCACATTAACATTACAGACTGTCACGGAGGGAAAATGGAGCTTGTTGAAACCCAAAGAAATTGTGGTTTGTACAGGCTTTTCCAGATAGTGAGCTATTAGAAAAACAAGATGGTAGGTCATCCAGCCCATAGTGGTCAAAAGCAGAATAGACCAGGCCGCCTTGGCGTACCACTTCTTAGACTCGCGAATATATCCCGGTCCCTGCATGGCAGTCTTCTCCGCAAAACGTCGGAAAATTTTTCCGAGTGATTTTCCCTGATCCGCCTCTTCATGACTTTCAGACCTAATTATGTTGAATTTAAATTGATCATTTTATTAGAAGTTTTGATTTAAAAGAGATCAAATTAGGAAAATATAGCCAACTGTTGGCTTCGAAAAAATCTGAGAATTTTAAGTGTGTTCATTTACTTGACTGAATTTCAAAACCATGAAATAATATTTTTACAAAAACGATCTTTTTTAAGAATATGAAGAAGATGATCTATGAAGTACTAAAGACAACCCTACTTACCATTGAATTCTGTTAGATGACATCGGTTTGTATACACGGTAGGGAGGGGAGAAAGCATCAACATATTGTCTCCCGTTGTATTCGGCGGGGAGGGATCTATGTCCTGCAGGTAATATATACCTGGGTGATGGAATATATCTCTCTCTGTCCGGCCAGAACATTTTTATCAGCCGATGTTAGATAAATGATGCTTGGTAATTTTGTGCATTAATATAAATGCATTGATATTTATTGTCCAAATTAAGCCCAAACTTTGTTTTTCTTTTCAGATTAAAAAACAAATTTTCTTTTTAAGTTAAGAGTGCAGATTACATAGAATTTGTCACAATGAATGAAGCTTGAGGATAATGAAGATAGATTTTGCTGAAGATATCTGAAGCTTTGTGTTTTGGAAAGGTAGGATAGTATCCCAAGGCATAAGTACTTTTCTAATCTAATTAAAAATTTCTAAAATGGGAGTGGAATTGATTAAATAAATGTAAAAATATCAGTAGCCATTTTGATTCAGGACTAAAACACGTACTCTTCATATATGCATGTATTTATTACAGAGAAATGATAATTAATTTTACATGCCAGACCACGTACTTTAGAGTTAAATAAAGATTTTAAGCCTTGTATTCACAACCCACAACCCATGCTATTAAAATCACTGATTAAACGGTAAGTAATGAGTCAGAAAATATTGAATCTTACACAAATAAGAGAAAATTTTAAATAGGGTTTACCAGAAGATACTACCAAATTAAGAAGGGATTCTTCTCACATCAATTGTATTTTTACACATTGAAGAAGACAATGTTACTAAGTAATGGTATTAATTTGATTCATTTTGATCGTTTAAAATTTTAGAAACAAGGTCATTTTCTTATTACTTGACATGAAAAATACTGTTGCCAACCATATGATGTTTCTTTAATTTCAAAAGGGTCTGAAAGATGAAACTATTAAATAAAAAAAATTAATTCAATAAAATATTTCCTAGTCCAAAATTCCTCTATTTCTTAAATTTTTAGGAATAAGGACTATTTATTTGTAAATGCTTCATATACATTACCATTTCTTCTTATGTTTATATATATGGCAAAGAAGTCACTTGAAATACATAAAAATACCTTTTTTCTGATTTTTTGCTGAAACCTGGTCTTAAGATGAGAAGCTTTCGAAAGCCAACAAGATTATTATTTGTCACAGAAAATCATAACTATTTGTTATATTTAAAATTCAAGTCCGTAGTTATTAATTTTAGTCACGTAAGAAAATTCTTTAAGTCTTTGATTGTTCTTTAACTAAATTCATCGGTCAGAAATTTTAAGAACAGAAAAGGAGACATTTTCAAACGCTGCAGTCCAACCAAAAATGTAGTCCTTGCTAATTTTTTACCACAATTTTCTAAGCTCTACAATTGTGAGAAGGAAAGAAAAATGTGATTATTTAAATCCCTTTTATCTAATTATATAAGTTATACATGTAGAAGCAAATATACATTGAATATTTCATTAGGTCAGAAAATTTTCTTCCAAGCCTCTTCTTTTACTCCTCACTAAAATATTAACAGTAGTTTAGAGAAACTGCAAAAAAAAAAATATTCGAAAAGTAGTATAGATCAGATGTGGATACCTAAAAATTCCAAGGAAATTTTGGAAAAATTGGAAAAAAAAACAAACACTTTTTTGCACCAAAATCAACATTAAAACTTATGACCTTTTAACTTTATATACAACCATCCCCATGATAAATTAAAATCCACGCCTTTTGACATTATTGACAGCTGCTTTTTTCAATAAAAATGGCACTCGTAAATTAACTTACCTTGTCATTGGTCATTTGCAAAATAATTTTGCTGAAAACATTCTGATTGTACTCGCAAGCACTGAAGTTGATAATTACAAGACGTGTTTGTGAAACAGTATGCGCCCGGCGGCAACAAAGTTCGAAGACGCTATTTTTAGCATATAGGTCACAAGGTCATTGACCTTGGTGTCATTTGAAAGAACCTAATTAGTGAAGTAGGCATACTAAATATGAACACTCTACCTCCTATGGTTCAAAAGTGATGGCAATAGTTTGAAAAAGCTATTTTTAGCATATAGGTCACAGTCAAGGTCGAAAAGTCAATGACCTTGGTGTCATTTGAAAGGACTTAATTAGTGAAGTATGCATACCAAATATGAAGTCTGTATCTCTCACGGTTCAAAAGTTATGGCGAAGGTTAAAGTTGACAACAGACAGACAAACACACAGTATTTATAAAATCTTACGTAAAAAGAAGAAAACACTTGCTGTGGCCTTCAACTCGACATTTAGATTATTATATCGACGACATTTTGTCAATTAACAATGCTTCTTTCCATTCTTATAATGATACAATATATCCCGGTGAGCTTGAAATAAAAGATACAACAGAATTTGACTCATCTGTTTCATATTTGGATATTTTTCTAGGAAACGACGTAAACGGTAATCTAACAACAAAGCTTTGTGATAAACGTGTACGTGATGACTTTATCTTTTCAATCGTCAATTTCCCTTACTTATGCAGCAATACTCCAGTATTCCTTTATCACCTGCTTACGGGGCTTACATCTCTCAATTGAATTCCATACGAAATTAGACACTCTACGAATGAGCAATTTATGAAACGGGGTACGCTATTGACAAACAAGTTTATGGAACAAAGAATATTAGCTATCTCGTTTAAAGTAATCATTTCGTAAGTTCTATTGACGATACCATTACCTTGTCAGCAGTTACAACCTATCATTTAGTCAAATTCTGACGGACGTTTTACATACTAACTAGTAGGCCATTATCTACACACTGAATTGTCGACGGATTTTCCGTTATTTACTGATCATAACAAGAAGAACACGGCATGTGAGCGGTCGGTCAGCAGGGAATGTTCACTCCTCCATGGCACCTGATCCCACCTCTAATGTTTTAGAGGTCCCTGTTTGCTCTGCTCCTGATTTTTAGTGTTAAACAGATTTTTGAGCTTGAATACTGTTCGCTATCTCCATATATTTTATTTAAAGTTTGTTTTTATTGCTGAAAGACATTATCTTCTATATGATATTCTTTTAAATACTTTCCATAACAAATTTGATCATATATTGAAAAGATATATATCGAAAATGTTATTGAAATGAGCTTTATATACTAGTATTATATACAATATATTTTATACCCAAACTACGTTTTGTTTGTTTAACGCCCGCTTTCATGAAATGTTTTTTATGAAAATAAACTCTTTTTGAGATTCTACGTCTGACAGATTTTTCATAAAGGACTACAAACTTGTCATCCGAGCTTTCGGCCTTTAAGAAGTGATGGACTTTTTTCTATTACGACATGAAAAGCTCTTGTATGAGGAATCGGAAAAGCGACATAAAGGTAACCTCAGACTCTAGAGCAACCGCTCTAAGCAACTCCTCTCCTCACGCTATTTAATCACACTAGACTAAATTCATCGTCGCAAACCACGGCCAAAATGTACGCTCCTCTCCCATCTGGAGAGAGCTATATATGCGGACTCCGGACCGTGGCTTGAGACGATGGACTAAATTATGTTGGTTAAAAGCTATTCCAAAATGATCGAATAATACGTTTTTGACGTAAGTCATTGTGACGTTGGCAACGTATGTTATACGATATAAAGTAAACAGATACATATCTCTGATTGATAAACTATATGATAAATTGATCAATGTTTTATTCCCCCCATTTATTTTAAACGTCATATTTGATACAAGTTATAAGACAACTTGTTAATTATCACTTCCTTTCACCTACGTATTTTTTAAACCACAGACTGAGTACTTGACAAGTGTCCTTTCTGACATATTTTATTTGTCAAATAAAATCTGCAAGTCATGTTGCAGATTTTATTTGACAAATAAAATATGTCAGAAAGGACACAAGGCACAAAAAGGTCTAATACCGTTTAAACAATCAATTTTCTTAGCAGAGGGTTGGAAATAAATTACACAGCAGCTTTATTTTTAAGGTTGCAAAGATAAATGTATTTCAATTTACGAAAATTTTCACTCACATCCGTGTACCTTTGTAAGAACTATGGAGTTAACTGATTCAATTGAACATGCAGTCCGAATTATCTGGCATTTCCAGGCTTTTATCCCCAATTTTTTTTTATATTTAACAGGCCAGGAAAGCGTCAGAACCGGCGCCATTATGAAAAGTGGAGATTTCGCCGTCTTTAACAGGAGTTGATTTTCGATGCTATCAAACATAATCACAACCTATCAACAACATAATGCTTCTAGTACTTACCAATATCGATCAAGAGAAAACCACCACTCCACATTTCCATACACGAAATGAAAGCATACCTCTATGCGGTTCGCAAGTAAAGAAAATTAACCCAAAATGCAACGTCCAGTTGGAGGCACCGGCTATTACCTTTTCCTTGCAAGTCAAATATCAAAATCGTAAAAAAAAAAGCCTGGAAAACATATAAGATATTTCAGACTATTGAACATGAAGTTCAAGTATATAAAATGATAGAAAAACTCGACTACTTGAGCACATAGCTCGTAATTCTTATTCTGAAAAAGGACCTCGATTTTTTATCAAGCACCGTAGGGAAAGACTGAAGACTTCACTGAAGATGTGTAGGGTGATACCATGTGCACATTCCAAGGTAATATTATCGATATCCCTGTTTGTCTACCTTTCATAAAAATGGATGTACTCAAGGATGTTAAACATTTGCTGAACTTTTCAACTTAGTGCACGCATAATTTTTCAATTAGATTTAATGTCTACTATTTTTCCACGTTAACCCTGATACGAGTTTATGTGTCAATATTCACAGAAAAAAAAGCAATTGCAGAGCAAGGACAATAGTTTTTAAGCAACTGTTGATTTACAGCATAACTTGTATTCTAATTTGTGTTATTCTTTATAATTTTTCAAACGTTTGGACCTTTTTAGTGCAATATCCGTTCTTCGGTCACCTAACGAACCCAGATGACCCTCTGAATCTGTTTCCGTCTGTCGGCGTGCGTCGTCCGTCGTTTGTAAACTTTTTGAAAAAATTCTTTCTATCTTCTTCTCATGATTAAACAGCTGAATCAATTTCAACAAACATTCTAGAGTAATGCATGGACAAAAGAGGACAAAATTGCGAATTTCATGGTCC